AGAGAGGGACTGGCCCAAGGTCACCCAGCTGGCTTTGTGCCTAAGGTGGGACTAGAACTCACGGTCTCCCAGTTCCTAGCCTGGTGCCTAGCAATCAGCATAGCTTTCATTCAGTCCATGTTTTATAAAGTGCCAGATCTGCAAATTCTGAAGGTGATCGTTTTGAAGAAAACCTTTTAGAAAGGCAGGGGGTGCACACACGAGGACTCATTCACATAAAAACAACTTTCTCAAACATACACGATTTTTTAAAAATAACAACTGAAGTATACATTCCACATATGTTGCATAAAGCGTATTTAGGGCTGAATGTTGTAAATGTTTTGTAAATGTCTCTGAAATCATGAAGACTTATGAGACGACAAGTCCCAGGACTGAAATGGGAACAGAAGTGTACGCATACTCACCCATATCACTACGACCCCTTTTGCAAACTTTAAAAATCAGTTTGTTAGTGAGACACCCAAGCTAGCGCCCTTAACTCTACTTTTAAATACTCCCCCTCCAACTACTCATAAAATTGCTAAATAATTAAACATATTCTAGAAGCCTTCCTGGACCTCATCCAAGATCTCTCTAGTGCCTGTATTCTTTCTCCATCACTGAGCAGCCTGCTGCATCAAGGGACGTTAACCACAGCCTGGAGCAGGCAGGCTCCCCTCTCATCTCTTTTCCTAACCCAGCATCTTTTTAGCGGCATAATTCATCTATACCCAGGCAGCTTAGTTTGCAGTTACAATTAATATGCACCATATACTCCCTTTATTTCCCCCTCCTTGAAGAAAAAAGCAGAGGTTATAACTACCCCACTGCAACCTTCAGCTTACAGACCTTCTCAGCTACGGTGCCTTTCTGTGAAGGAAATATGACAAATCATCTTAAGAAACGTATAGACTGCGGGACCAGGATCTAGCAAATTTCTGGGCAGTTTTTCCCTGACCCAATTCTTCCCTTCCAATTCCTTTTTCTAAAGGATCTGGTTTCACCCAAGACTGAGAAGACTGGAGTACTAGTCAGGGATGATGGGAGCTGTAGTCCAACCTAGAAGAGCCACAAATCTCCCACCTGTAGGTTTAACCTCTTGATCCCCTTTCCCAACTTTCAGCAAGTCTAAGCGTACCCAACTTTCTGTGCTTAAGAAAGGCTGTGATTCTGAGGAATTGTTCCCCAGCCATGGGCACCAGTGATACATAGGACCATGAATCCATGCATCTATAGGCTGTGGCAGAATAGTAGAAGCCCCAGCACTACCACCATTTTTCACTTATAAAGGCCATCAAAGCAAGGAATTGGAGGGAGACGTGATTACAAGGAAGATGAAACTGACTAGGAAGCAGGTGGACACTGCTGGATTCTACTGCAACTCAGCCAGAAATAAATGCCCATTAAATGTTCAAGTGACAGGTGTCTTGAAAGATGCCCAAATATGGAATACACCAAGAGTCCCCCATTGCCTACAGGGGCAGGCAGGGTTTAGGAGAGGCCATGGGGGTGGGGTTGAAGACAAGGGATAATGAGAGGTCAGTATATAAAATGCCAAGAGCTCCAACACGAGCTATTGTTTCTTTCCTTTCTCAGTGGCGCAAGAGCTGGTGAGTAACCTTTAATTAAATTAATTAAATCAAATTAATTAAACCTTTAATTGTAAGCTCTGGGGCGCAGAGGAAAAAAAGTAACATTTTCTGTCCCCTAAAGTGGCGCTTCTACCAGGGTTTTCTGTCTGTTTTCTCTGACTTATGCTCTGTCTGTAAGCTGATCCTGGAAGCAGCAGGATGGATGGATTTATTTTATTTAAAAAGGAAAAGCAATATTAAGAGCTACAGTGTGCAGGCAAAATGTTATCGAAGATGTTGGGGCAGACTATTCTTCTAAACCGAACGCTTGCAGTTTGCAGGTTCATGCAATTTACAGTTGTTTTTCTGCCCTGCCAATGGGCGTTCTGAGAATAAACGCCCCAGCGTGATTCCAAAAGGGCAAACGCAACCCTTACAGTATAGGAACAAGGCTGTCTATCCTTGTATTGAGCCAAACAAAACACCAGACAGACTAGGAAGTTGTGAAAGGTTTTTCTTTTTTTCTTTCCCCCTTTCTGCACTGGAATTGTCAGCCCTGCTTGACAGCAATTTCTAGCATCAATGGCAGAAAAGAGTCTTCCCTGGTCTTATAAAAGGAGACACCCAGCCACAGAACTTGGCCCCTTTAGCGTCCAGAGTATCTCCTCTACTTCTACCCTTTTGTTTCAACCTCCCAAATTCACACAAAGCAGGGCTTTTGGAAAGAAGAGAGCTGGAAAAAGCTGGCACGGATCACCTTGAGAAAGAAAACCCTAACCTTCTATCTCCCACCTCCAGCCTTCCAACATGATGGGTGAAGATGAAGAGATCACAGCCTTGGTGTGCGACAATGGCTCTGGTTTGGTGAAGGGGGGCTTTGCTGGCGATGATGCCCCCCGGGCGGTCTTCCCTTCCATTGTCGGACGCCCAAGACACCAGGTAAGGGGGGGGGGTTGTTTTTGTTCTGCATTAATCACGTTTCCACTGAGGTCAAGGGCCGCTCTTAAAAACAGCTGGGAACTCATCGCTCACAAGTTGGTCCTTTGGGCCTGAGTTCTAAAAGGGGGGTGAATGGGTGGAGCAGATTAACACAGTGTTTCTCAACCGTGGTGACTTTAAGATGTGTGGACTTCAACTCCCAGAATGACCCAGCCAGCAAGGGTTGCTGGAGAATTCTGGGAGTTGAAGCCCACACATCTTAAAGTCGCCGAGGTTGAGAAACACTGGATAAACAGACAAAAATCAAAAGGTTAGGGTCTAGTAGCCTCTTTTCAGCCTGACAAAAGTTATTCAGAGTCATCAGATCTGGTAAAGTGACCTGCAGCTCACCGTAATCTATGTTTTTTAGAAGCAGCTGGGAGCCTGAAAAAGTGCTACTGGACTTTTTCCAATTTCTGGCTACAGCAGATTAACACAGTTCTCCTCCTATAAAGTCTACAATTTAAACAAACCAGAAATCCCTGGAGGAGGAAGTAATATCCTCCATTTGTCTTCACGGAAATGCATTTTGTCCTGTCCGAATCTACCTTGATCGCCGCTATGTGCAGGGCTATCCCCCAGCAAGAGCCATTTTGTGAGAGCGCTCACAGCAGGCTTTGGTTTACCATTGGCCCAAAAAGATAGCCTGTCCTATGTTAAAGCATCGTAGATTGCACAGCCACAAAAGGATGCTTGCTTCAGGTACAGAAGAGCTACATCAAAACCAGTCTTTCCTGAAAGGCTTGTGGACAATGAGCGAGAAAAGACTCACGGTAGATTGATTTTGTACACAGTGATGGGAGCAAGACTGTGAGCAACGTTCCTTGCGCAACGGTGGAATAATAATGAAATTCCCACAGGGGAGGGATGGATTGTGAAAATGTCAGAATTTGCAGAAATGGCAAAGTTGACCTGTTTGGTCAAAGAAAAAACAACCACAACCACAAACTTTTTTGAAAGACTAGAAACCTGATATGGACTTTTTGCTGAAAGAAGAAAAAAAATACGATTTATGGGTTTGAAGATTTAAAAAGATGTGGGTCAAATGAGGGGCTGAAGGGGCTTGTATAGTATCTAAGAAGGAAGAAGGATGATAAGATTATAATAATCTGTTGAAAAGAAGATTGGATGTCATTATATTTCTTAACCAACCTTCCATCCTTCCTTCCTTCCTCCCTCCCCAGTGTTCTTTCCCTCCCTCCCTCCCTCTTTCAATTTGTCTTTTACTCTATGTAAAATTCTTAATAAATATAAATAAATAAAAAAACCCGTCTTTCCTTATCTCACACATTTCAGGTATTTGGGGCTATGAGTACTGTCATCTCCAGCCTAAACATGGATTAGCAGAGGGTAATTGCTACATTCATATCCCATGCTGTCCCCTAATAAATCATATTAGGACTTTAAAAGGTGATCTGCTTTGCATGTATTAAGAAATGGTTGAGTTTCCTATCATATGTTGGCTCACAACCCACCCTTCTCTGTTTGGGCTTTAGTCCAGCACAGTGTTTCTCAACCTTGGTCACTTTAAGTTCTCTGGACTTCAACTCCCAGAATTCCCCAGCCAATTCTGGGAGCTGAAGTCCAGAGATCTTAAAGTGACCAAGGTTGAGAAACACTGGTCTAGCATCTTGTGCAAATCTAGACACCTACAAGGAGGAAGGCTGACACTTGGGGAAGCGGGTGCGATTGTTCGTGGGTGTAGCATGGGAGTGGGGGAAAGAGACTGGGCGCAGCTTTTCCAGAGAGATGGACATTGCTGCAATTATCCAGCTGCAAGGAAGACAACGGGTGTTGTGAGGGGCCTCATCCTTTCTGCTCTGCTTCCAGGGTGTCATGGTAGGGATGGGCCAAAAGGATTCCTACGTGGGAGACGAAGCGCAGGGAAAGAGAGGCATCTTAACCTTGAAGTATCCCATTGAGCATGGTATCATCACTAACTGGGATGACATGGAAAAGATCTGGCACCACACCTTCTATAACGAGCTGCGTGTGGCCCCCGAGGAGCACCCCACCCTGCTGACCGAGGCTCCCCTCAACCCCAAAGCCAACCGGGAGAGGATGACCCAGATCATGTTCGAAACCTTCAACGTGCCCGCCATGTATGTGGCCATCCAGGCGGTGCTCTCCCTGTACGCCTCTGGCCGAACCACCGGTAAGGAAGGGGGACCTGGAAACTTGGGGTCTCGTTTTGATATTATTATTAGTTAAATTTATAGGCTGCACAAGGCAAGGTTTTAATATGAAATTCATACCCTGCCAAGTATTTATCCCCACCTGTATAAAAGTCCCCCCCCACACACACACACACCCCCCTGAGAGGCAAGATTCTACATATGAAGCCATAGTTTGGTTTAACTGTGGTGTGTCAAATAAGCCGTAACTGAATGATTGCAAAATGTTAAACCATAAACCAGAGTTTAGAAAACCAGAACTACACACTGCGCTTAGCAAAACCAAAGAAAATTCAGCTTGACTTAATGCAATGAGAAATCAGTTATGACAAAGGAAGCCAGAGATCCTAGGTTCAACTGCCACCCAACTCCTAACTTCATCAGGGCAGGGTAAATGTTTTATGGACTGGGGACCTTCCCTAACACCCTTGTGGAGGATGAGCAGCCCAGGGTTGGGGGGGATGATGATGATGATGATGCAAATGGGTGGGATCATGCCAGGCCCATGGGCTGAATTATTTTCTTCTGGGATTTGGGGGAGAGTTCAGTCATCCCCTCCAATTTTAAAAAATGATAAAGATCCTTTTATATAGTACTACAGTTGTGGCTGTTTCCTGCCTCGAAACATTAAAAATCATGGGTTTTTTTGCAACGATGGTGGGAAGGGATTCAGGGGGCCTCCAAAATGGATTGAGGGATTGCATGTCAAATTTGGTACCACTGAATGAAAGCGTCCCATTCGTAGGGATGGTGCTGGACTCTGGAGATGGTGTCACCCATAATGTCCCCATCTACGAAGGCTACGCCTTGCCTCATGCCATCCAGCGCTTGGATCTGGCTGGCCGTGACCTCACAGACTACCTGATGAAGATCCTAACCGAACGCGGCTACTCCTTCGTCACCACAGGTAGGTGGAACTATTAAGCTTTAAGCCTTAAGTTTGAGAGTCATCTGAACTGGCATTTCTCGTGAATGAATTCTAACTAAGTTGGCCAGTTGTGACTGAACGAAAATGTTCATTCTTCTGGCCGCATCCAATCTTTTCCTCCTTCAGCTGAGCGGGAGATTGTGCGGGACATCAAGGAGAAGCTGGGCTACGTGGCTTTGGACTTTGAGAATGAGATGGCCACGGCTGCTTCCTCGTCCTCAGTAGAGAAGAGCTACGAACTCCCTGATGGACAGGTGATCACCATTGGCAACGAACGGTTCCGGTGTCCAGAGACCCTCTTCCAACCCTCTTTCATTGGTAAGGGAGCTCTTGATCTTCAGTTGTTAGGTATTTGGAGGAGCAAAATCTATTACAATTACACAATGAGTGAAGAAGTCATTCTTGGATTTTCCTGGTGTTGGGAATAGCAAGAGATATCTTGCTTAGACATCTGGTTAGCCATTGTGGGAAACAGGTTGGTCTTGATAGGCCTTTGATCTGGTCCAGCAAACTCCGCTGCTTCAACCTTATCCTGATGGGTTGACAATACTGTTGTGTCCAGGCCACTGACTGTATGGCTGGAGTTGATGGGAGTTGTGTGCTAAAACATCCTGAGGGAAAGCCACACTACCCCTGTATAAATAAAACTGCCTTTCAAGAACCCCAAGATTCCTGCTTTTTATTCATAAGAGACTGAATCGCTTCCTGCTGAATTCTGATGAAGAAAGGTACGCTAACAGGTACCCAAACACTTTGTGCAATTGAAGCTAGAGATGGATCAAATCCTGATCGTTCAACACACACACTCCCAGATTTTGTTTCCCCAAGGACAAGGCACATACATGCTTTCTTCCCCAACCCACTTTCGTGGTAACTTTCCTCTCCATTCACCCAGCGTCCCTCCCACCTTACATCTTTAAAAGGAGCACAGTGTATGAAAGGTATCACTGTTTTGTTTTGCTTCCAAAAGGAAGCTGTCACTTATCTAAGTGACAACAGATGGATTCGTGCCAGCTGGGGTGGCAATTATGAGAAAAACATCAGCTAAGACATGCCAATAGCAGAAAGGTCAGCCCGCTCCTTGGAGACTGCCAAAAATGTCACAAGTTGTGTTGACTGCTAAACAAACTGGCACACGTTTGAAAGGGGAAGGAAAGCAAGCAGGGTGGTGGGTGTCTTGATTAGCAAGCTTTAACCAGAAGGGGATCAGGTAGACATTCCACCAAAAGATTAGACCTAAGACTTCAACAGTAGGTGGTGAAAACAGCTGATCTCACTTAAGGAAGCTCCTCCGCCCTTCTTTTTCTACCCAAAATAGGCAAGGGTGCTGTAAATTCCAGGCCTGTGGAAGGAGAGCTTTCCCTAAAGGAGGGGGAAGTGTGATCTCCTGTCGGCAGCTGTCATAACCTAAGGTCATCACCCCATCCTGTTCTCCTTGGTGAAGGATGCTTCACTGTGGGACCACCTTCCTTTGAGACAGATGGCAAGGGTTGTTCAACATACCCTGTTCCCCTTTAGATCAGACCCCAAAATTTGGGAAGAAGATCCAAAACAGGTCCATCAGTTCATGGAATGAGCCATTCTTTTTTCCTTGCTGGGGTAGACAGCTGTGCTTGATGGGAATGGTGGAAGAAATTAAGCTGGAGGAGGCACAGCTAGCCTACAGTGATCCAGTCAGTCATTAAATTAAAGACTGAACATAATTGTTAAATAGCAGACTGAAAGAAATCTGTGAACAGTTACCATCCCATTATCAAAATACACCGAGGCTGGGTTCACCCAGTGCATACCACACAAGATAGTACATGTACTACAGTAAGTCATAGTTTAACCTTAGCATAACTTGAATAAACCATAATTTATTGCATATGCATAGTGTGCTAAACTCGACAGTTCCAAATGGCAGGATCCACACAATACACCAGAAACCAAGAAGCTACCTTATAACTTAAGATGTTGTATGAAAGGACAGGACACTAAGTTCTTCCTCTCACACACAGTTATAATGAATTTCACAATCCTACCTTCTCTTCAGGCATGGAGTCGGCAGGCATTCATGAAACAACCTATAACTCCATCATGAAGTGTGACATCGACATCCGTAAGGACCTGTATGCCAACAACGTCCTCTCCGGTGGCACTACCATGTACCCAGGCATTGCTGATCGCATGCAGAAAGAAATTACTGCCTTGGCTCCCAGCACCATGAAGATCAAGGTGATGCAGGCCAGCGAATGGTAACTTAAGAGATTCCAAGCTAGAGATGCAGACATTATCCTTTCTCTGAGAGATGGCTCTTCCACATGCAGGCTTCCATTCACTAGAGAAGTTGTGAATGTGAATTCCTGGCATTCCTCCCTGTTTGTCAAGGGGCATGCCATTTGTTCCAAATTCCAAATATTCCCTTTGGAAAAGCAGCAAGATTGATTGACTACAACTTGCTTTTAAAAGCTAAACCAAATCTGAGGAGGATTCTTTGTTCCCATGAGTGAGTGAGTGGAATGAATGAATGAAATGAATGAATGAACGAATGAACTCCAACACTGATAGAATCTCTAAATCTAATTTTAAGGCTTGAGTTCATTCATTCATTCATTCATTCATTCATTCATTCATTCATTCATTCATTCATTCATTC